TCTTAAAATTGTGAGGAATATGAGAATCTTCTGCTAGTTAGCAAAACTCATTGAATAAGATGATTGGACAGGAGTTGTTTAAATTAGCTTTGGTGTTTATGTAGAGAGCAAAATTTATCGGAATGACATTTTGGATGCATCTCGTATAAACATGAACCAAATTGGCTTCAATACTTGGTTCCCAAGATGAAACTAATTCCACTTGACCATACTTCATTGAATCAACTTGGATAGTAGCCCTTTTGACGTTGTTAACACATTTCAAAGGGATTTGAAAATCATATTCTGGATACTCATCATATTTCATAAACTTACAACCATCTTTAATAGAGTTTAGAGAATCATCATCATCACAATATTCGTCAAATATCGGAATATTAAAATCATCTTGGACACCGATTAAAAAGTGATCCTCATGATAGTCATCAAATATTGGGGGTAAATCCAAATCAATTTCAGATTGTGAAGAAGATGAATACACATCAAAAAATACCTTATTCGACTCCATATCGAAAATTTGAGTCTTCTCTAGGATCATAGTTGCAACAACTTTATTGTTGTAATGACCTCTTCTTGGCCTTCCATCCATGTGTAATGTTGATTTCGGACACTTTATAAGAAATTCAATAGGATCGATTTTGCCGAAACCCATTTGACACTAGGTAACTTATCGCTCACAAAACGAGAAGGGATATGGTTGGCATGTTGATACACATCCATGAATTTATGGATCTGAATAATCAACACATTAACTGCTTGTTCTAATTGAGTTACCTCACCATGTACAGACAGGTTGTTAACAGATGTGTTTCGACCACCAATACTTCTCCCAAGTGACATGGTGCATGAAAGATCGCAAGCTCTGATACCAACTGATGTAGGAAAGTGGGTAGAAACAAAGATATAATGAACGAAATGGAAAATGAAACTAAAACATTGATTTGTACACAAATACCGGTTCAGAATCTTACTCTAAGCTTGTTGATTCTGCAGAATACCAATTCTAAAGGCTTCAATCGATTTGATGATTATTAATAATACTAGAATAATTGGGAAGAAAAGAGACAATTCTCTTAATATTATTAATTCATCCAAAGTTATTTTGCCCCAAGACTTACATGAGTTTATATAGTAGACAAAACACTAAAATCAACTAGGAAAGCAGAATCCTAATTAAATTAAGAAACTGAATGAAATAAAATTCTAATTAAGAAAAATAAATAAAATTAAACTACTTCCTAATTAAATTAGGAAATTTCCTAGAAATTTCCCAATTGATTTAATTAGAAAATAATCAATTTTGTTCAAACGACATTGATCACATTTACCCAAAATCTTGTCTTTATTCTACATCACCTGAGAAGCCGTAGACGTATTGAAGTTGTCCACTAAAACAAATCCAAAGCCATACAAGAAGAGTTGGTTTAAAGAACGTATGAGGTGAAAGTTTCCCAACGATGCCTTGTTTCTTTTTCTATTGGGAAGAAATATCATGATAGTGTTATGTATGATGTTCTTGCTATGGATGCATATCATATACTATTAGGGAGACCATGGCAATATGATAGAGTATGATAGAGCTACCTTTAACCATGGGAGAACCAATGTCTACTCATTTTGGAAGGATAAGGTCAAGATAAATTTGGGTCCAATGAAGGAGAAACTTGAGTCAAACCTTAATTCTATAAGGGAGACTAATTTTCTTCATTGGCAAGGTTTGTTCAAGAGTAACAAGAGTGTGGGTTAATTTATGCTTTGATGGAGTGGGAAGTAATTACCAGCAGTTTGGTATGCGATTAATTTTGTGATGTGTAAGGTAGCGTATAGGTGGAGTCCCAGGCAGCATGAAGAGTTAAACAGACAAGTAAAAGAGTTACTGGAAATGGGGCATGTATGGGAGAGCAAGAGTACATGCACCATACTTGCATTACTTACACCTAAGAAGGATGGCTCGTGGAGCATGTGTGTGGATGGTCAAGCCATAAAAAAATCACTTTGAAGAATTGTTTTCCTATACCTCGCCTAGATTACATGTTGGATATGTTAGTTGGATCGAAGTTCTTTTCATAGATTGATTTGAAGAATGGTTATCACCAAATTTGTATTCATGTTGGAGATGAATGGAAGATTACGTTTAAAGCACGAGAGGGTCTTTATGAATGGTTGGTAATGCCCTTTGGTTTATCCAACGCACCAAGCACATTTGTGCGGGTTATGAAGGAAGTGCTTAAACCATTTATTGGGTGTTGTGTGGTAATATATTTTGACGATATTCTTGTGTACACTAGGTCTATGGAAGAACACACAGCACTTGTCTGAGGTCCTTAGCATTTTATGCAAGGAGAAGTTGTATGCAAACATTGGCAAGTGTAGCTTCGCTATTGACATATTGGCATAGAATTTTGATGGACATGGAAAAGGTGAAGACAATCCAAGAGTGGCCAATTCCCTCTACTGTTCATGAAGTGCGAAGTTTCCATGGGTTAGCAACGTTATATCACCGATTCATTAGAAATTTCAGCTCAATTGTCGCTCCTAAAACAGATTGCATGAAGGACAGATTTATTTGGATACGAGATGCAAAGAAAAGCTTTGAGCTCATTAAGAAGATTACTGAGACTCCTATCCTTGTGTTACTTGATTTTGAGAAGATTCTTGAGAAGATTCTTGAAGTGGAATGTGATGCTTCCAAAATGGCCATAAGGGCTGTCCGTGATCAAGAAAATAGGCTGATGGCATTCTATAGTTAAAAACTAAGTGTTTCTCGATTGCGGTATTCAACTTAGGATGTTGAGTTCTATGCTATCGTGTGAGCATTAAGCCATTGGTCTCATTACTTGCTACATAGAGAGTTCATTCTCTATTCTGATCACTAGGCACTTAAATACATCAATGGCTAGCATAAACTTAATCAAAGACATGCAAAATGTGAGTTTTTTACAACAATTCACCTTTTGTGTAAAGCATAAATTTAGAATACACAACAAAGTCGCTGATGCTTTTGAGTCGTGTCAAGTTTCTCTACTTACTACTATGCAGGTTGAGGTATTGGGATTTAATTATTTTAGAGATTTGTATGCTAAAGATCAACATTTTCGGCCTGTTCTGCATACTGTCAAAACTTGATAGTGAAGTGACTTCCATTTCTATGATGGATACCTCTTAAGGGCCATCAACTTTACATTCCAGATTGCTCCCTGCGAGAGAAGATCATCATGGAGCAGCATAGTTTGGGTCATTTTAGGCACAATAAAAGCTTGGCTTTAGTGATGGAACGTTTCTTTTGGCCTAGAATGAAGGGAGATGTCACAAGGTATGTAGAGAGGTGTCATGTGTGTCAAAGAGCGAAGGATGGATCTACTAATGCTGGATTATACACACCCCTTCCTATTCCTAGTTCACCATGGACAGCAATTAGCATGGATTTTGTGCTTAGTCTTCCTCCTACAGTCCTACTCAAAGAAGAATGGGTTCTATGATGGTAGTTGTCGATAGATTCTCAAAGATGGTTCATTTCATTGCTTGTAGGAAGACATTGGACACCTTTAATATTGCTAATCTCTTCTTTAAAGAGATATACAAGTGGCATGGGGTTCCTTGCTCCATTGTTTCGAATCGTGATACTAAGTTTCTTGGGAACTTTTGGAGGAGTCTATGGAAGAAAATTGGGACAACTTTGGACTGTAGTACTTCATTCCATTCTCAAACAGACGGCCAGACTGAAGGGGTACCAACAGGAGTTTGGTAATTTGGTATGATGTCTAACTGGAGACATGACTAAACAGTGGGATACCATGCTGCCAATTGCTGAATTTGCTTATAACAGCTCCAAGAATCACACAACACAACAAAGTCCCTTCGAGCAGTGTATGGATATATCCCTAACAACATAGACGACTTAGTTCCCATCCCAAACTTGAAGAAAGTTAATGTTAAAGCTGAAGAGATTGCAGAGCACATGAAGCATATTCATGAGCTTGTATGACAACCTCTTGAACCCAACAATGCCAAGTACAAAGTTGCAGCTGATGCACATCGTTGGAGAGTTGTTTTTGATGTTAGTGACTTTGTTTGGGCTGTTTTGACTAAAGATAGAGTTCCAGCTGGAATGAACAATAAGACGACAGATCAAAAAATTGGCCCGTGCAAGGTAGTGAAGAAGATTAATGATAATGCATACAAACTGAAGTTGTCACACCATATGAACATCTTGATGTCTTTAATGTCAAACACGTGGTACCATACAAAGGAAATGTGACGGAAAAAGAAGACAACAACTCGAGGTCAAGTTCTTCTCAACGTGAGGAGACTAAACTTCTTCAAAAAATTATGAAAAGCCACCAAACTTCTCAAAAAGTAATGGAAAATCAAATCATGCGTCTTCCAATCAAATCTGACCTCGTTGGTGCTGCTGTCAGCAGGTTTGGTGCTGACTTCAGCACTCTAGAAAATGTGTCACTTTTCTGACGAGGTCCAATGAATCTTAAGTCATTCGGCTTCAATCGGTTAACTTGTGAAATTCTAGGGTTTTATGATGGGCGAAATGTTTGGGAGAAAAGGAAGAGAATTATTATGTAATGAGTGGTGTGCTAGGTTGCACAACTACACCCTAACTTTTATATAAATACCAAGTACAAAAATGCCTGTAAGCTGAAACATAAAGCATAACATAACAGGAAGTTACTTGGCTTTTTACCAATACACAAAAAAACCCACTTCAAAAGTACTTTTCCCCCCTCTAGTCTTGTTTGCCTTCCACATCACCTAAAACATTTTCCATTTGCTTCTTATATCTCATGTACTATTTCTTGGTCAAATCATTACTTTCTAGTGCAGATTTCTTTTCTTTTTGTGGGAAGCACCAAGCAAATTTTTGGCAGTGATGCTGTTAAATTAATCATATTTTAGGAATACCTATGCTTACAGTTACATAATTGTTATGTAGGTCGGCCAATTATGCAACCCTGGTAACAACACAGCTAATCATTGTAGCAACACATATGGTAATTCTTGTTCCTTCTCTTCTTCTTTGTTCTAAATCTCCTTTACTTTGAATTATTGATTTTATTTTTTCTGTTGTTGTTATGAAGGCTGGGCTGGGACTTCCTGACACTGATGCATGGTACATGATTGAAACTATAGCGGGGAAGAATAACATCGGGTACAAGCATATGGTAAGTTACAGTTTTGTGCTTTTGTTCCTTGTCAGTCCATCTTCTATGCGTGGAGTGAATGCAGATACACTATATTCTACTTAATATGTAGTGTTTTAATGCCAATGATAGATGATGATATTATCAGAACAACTTTGGAAACCCAGGGAATGTACTTAGCATGCCGTTTTATCCAATCCCCGTCCACTTGTCACCCCACCCTTCCATGCCCTTTTAGTATTATTCATATATAATTATGAATTATTTTCTGAAAAAGAGAATATCTGATCATTATTCTCATACAACAGAGGCCACAGGATTAACTCACAGGTGTTTTTGACGGGTTGAGGCAAATATTGTAGATATTGAAAGTTGAAACCTCCATTGTTAAACAAGTTTGCTTTGTCATTGAGGAACCTCTATATTTACCTAAGTAGGCTCGTGCTCTGGAGTTCACCTACCTTGTTAGCACCACGAATCCTGAAGAGCTGTGAGCTGTCATGGATGTGTTGCATGGTTTATACTGTCGACTGCATTATAGTTTTGTCTAACATAATTGTTTTGAAGTCTGATTCCCATGAGTCATGACATGATTCCGGCACCTCGATGTGGATTGTGTCAAAACTTTCTTTTATTCACACCCTGCCAATGTACTTCAAGGGGTTATTATGCTGGGGCTGGCCAGCGTTTCTCCCTTTTTTAGACAAAAAAGTGCTGAGTCATCGTGGACCTTCCACTTTGACCTACATACTTACTGTTCAGACATTGGACATGGTGGTGTTCATTTTCTCTTCAGAAAAGAAAAATAAATTATTTTAATATTTGAATCACAATTTTTATGAGCTCTTTTTAACTCTGTTGATTTAAATTATGTGAATATTGTCAATAATTTTTTTCCCTTTTTGGGATTGGTAACAACTTCCTCCCACCCATGACCCACCCCCTCCCAGCAAAAAGTCCCAACTGAAACCTCAAACCTGCTCCTCTCTTTAAGTAGTGTTATGATATTCCACTCAAGCTAACAGTTGGTGATATAAATTACGTAAATTATTCTGCTATTTATCTTAGAAGTCATGTGATCATGCCGTTGTCCTCCCATGTTTCAATAATAAGGNAGGTTGCACAACTACACCCTAACTTTTATATAAATACCAAGTACAAAAATGCCTGTAAGCTGAAACATAAAGCATAACATAACAGGAAGTTACTTGGCTTTTTACCAATACACAAAAAAACCCACTTCAAAAGTACTTTTCCCCCCTCTAGTCTTGTTTGCCTTCCACATCACCTAAAACATTTTCCATTTGCTTCTTATATCTCATGTACTATTTCTTGGTCAAATCATTACTTTCTAGTGCAGATTTCTTTTCTTTTTGTGGGAAGCACCAAGCAAATTTTTGGCAGTGATGCTGTTAAATTAATCATATTTTAGGAATACCTATGCTTACAGTTACATAATTGTTATGTAGGTCGGCCAATTATGCAACCCTGGTAACAACACAGCTAATCATTGTAGCAACACATATGGTAATTCTTGTTCCTTCTCTTCTTCTTTGTTCTAAATCTCCTTTACTTTGAATTATTGATTTTATTTTTTCTGTTGTTGTTATGAAGGCTGGGCTGGGACTTCCTGACACTGATGCATGGTACATGATTGAAACTATAGCGGGGAAGAATAACATCGGGTACAAGCATATGGTAAGTTACAGTTTTGTGCTTTTGTTCCTTGTCAGTCCATCTTCTATGCGTGGAGTGAATGCAGATACACTATATTCTACTTAATATGTAGTGTTTTAATGCCAATGATAGATGATGATATTATCAGAACAACTTTGGAAACCCAGGGAATGTACTTAGCATGCCGTTTTATCCAATCCCCGTCCACTTGTCACCCCACCCTTCCATGCCCTTTTAGTATTATTCATATATAATTATGAATTATTTTCTGAAAAAGAGAATATCTGATCATTATTCTCATACAACAGAGGCCACAGGATTAACTCACAGGTGTTTTTGACGGGTTGAGGCAAATATTGTAGATATTGAAAGTTGAAACCTCCATTGTTAAACAAGTTTGCTTTGTCATTGAGGAACCTCTATATTTACCTAAGTAGGCTCGTGCTCTGGAGTTCACCTACCTTGTTAGCACCACGAATCCTGAAGAGCTGTGAGCTGTCATGGATGTGTTGCATGGTTTATACTGTCGACTGCATTATAGTTTTGTCTAACATAATTGTTTTGAAGTCTGATTCCCATGAGTCATGACATGATTCCGGCACCTCGATGTGGATTGTGTCAAAACTTTCTTTTATTCACACCCTGCCAATGTACTTCAAGGGGTTATTATGCTGGGGCTGGCCAGCGTTTCTCCCTTTTTTAGACAAAAAAGTGCTGAGTCATCGTGGACCTTCCACTTTGACCTACATACTTACTGTTCAGACATTGGACATGGTGGTGTTCATTTTCTCTTCAGAAAAGAAAAATAAATTATTTTAATATTTGAATCACAATTTTTATGAGCTCTTTTTAACTCTGTTGATTTAAATTATGTGAATATTGTCAATAATTTTTTTCCCTTTTTGGGATTGGTAACAACTTCCTCCCACCCATGACCCACCCCCTCCCAGCAAAAAGTCCCAACTGAAACCTCAAACCTGCTCCTCTCTTTAAGTAGTGTTATGATATTCCACTCAAGCTAACAGTTGGTGATATAAATTACGTAAATTATTCTGCTATTTATCTTAGAAGTCATGTGATCATGCCGTTGTCCTCCCATGTTTCAATAATAAGGTCCCCTTTTTATGGCATCTTATGAGTGCTTTCCTTGGAATTGGTTTTTTTTTTTCCCAAATGGGCTTGTGAATTGTATGCGAGTCCTAAATCTTTAACTCGTAAACTTGGACGTTCAACTCCATTGGTCGTGGTGGTGTAGAATTTATCTGTGAGACTCTGAATATTCTCATTCAGTCAAGTACTTACTAAATTTCCAAAAGGCTTAGCTGGGATGAGTATACCACCATCTAATTGGGCACATTGAGCGGTATGCTATTTTGCAAAAGTTCTTAGGTGAGAAATCTATTTCCTGGGGCTTCTATCTTTATCCTTGCACAGAAGTCTTCTTTGCGTGTCTTGTTTTTATTTTTCTCTTTTGGGACATGCTCCATCAGTCGGAAACAATAATTAGGGTTTTGCATTATTCATACTTGCCAGCTGTTTGCACATAAGATTGGGAACTTAAAGGTCTTTAAATAGAAAGGCCAAGTTATGTGTTAGGCTCAATGTTTTCCCACAACTTTTTAGTGTACTACTTTTATTCCTTTCCCTTATTTTGTCTATTAGTTGTTACTTTCTAATCATAATACATTTGAGCCTTGGTTCTTTAAATTTCTTGCTGAATCTTTTCATCCTCTGATATGTATCAGATTAAACTCAGGGGATTTCTCTCGCATATCCAGCAATTATGTATTGGTTACTGGGGAATTTATTCTGTCAAGTCGCAATCTGTGTCACCTTATGGATTACTCTCCCCACGTCCACAAGATGTCACTGATGACCATCAACAACCTGCTGAGGCTTCTGTTGTTGGGAGAAGCTGGGTCCAGAGCATGTTTAGCAGGGATACAACATCGAGAGCAAATTCTTTCAGTCGTAGCCGTAAATGGAATTCTGATAGTGGAACTTTAGGCATGCATTTTTTTTTGCCAAAACCGAATGCTTTTTAATTTCCATATTTTGAAGTCTAGTAGTCTGCTATTGCATCTCCACACTATATTATCCCTTTTGAATGCAGCTGCAAATGAGAATGGAACTCCTCGGAAACAAGATTTATCTGCTGCTGAGCAGAAGAAAATGCAAACTAGTGTCCGTACACTCAGGGGTCATGGTGGTGCAGTTACTGCTCTGCATTGTGTGACACAAAGGGAAGTATGGGATCTGGTGGGCGACCGTGAAGATGCAGGTTTCTTTATTAGTGGAAGCACAGACTGTACGGTAGGCAAAGGCTATTAGTTATTGTTCTCTTGTAGAAAATATTTGCATAAGAGTCGTGCTTGGCAGTTATGCTGTTGGCCATGTCTTGTGAGTAAGGCCTAAGGCTGTAGGAATGATATGTTGTGAGAGAAGGGGCTTTATAGCTTCTATTTTTCTTTAAGGCTGCACAGATCTGTTTTTCTTTTTTTCTTTTTAAAACCAATAGCTTCTATTTGTAGTCATAATATTAATAGGGTTGACCTTTGCTGTATATCGGTATTAAGTTTTGGCAATCATTTTCTATGTTTCTTAGAAGGGACTTTATAGCATTAGGAAACATTTATTTTGGGCTTTCTAGTACATTTTGTTTATTTTGTTCTATTTGGATAAGTAATAACCATTCACCTTGCTTTTAACCCTGCACTGGCCCCTAGGGTGGCAGGAATATCTGCTCAAACTATAATTGGCAGTTTCTGACCACTTGATTTTGTTGTGCTTGGAACTGTTGACCTCATGTACATGAACTTCTTAGGATGCACATTTTTGGTTTAGCAGCACTGGTTCCAAGGTGATGATAAAAATGCTTCTTGTCGCAATTGTGCAGGTTAGGATTTGGGATCCTAGTCTTCGTGGTTCTGAACTCAGGGCAACTTTAAAGGGTCATACAAGGTATTTGATTGCAATTTCTTTTTCTAACTCTTTCCCTTCCCAGTGAATTTTCCTTTGGCTGCTCTTTATGTATCCACGTTAGAGTTAACATTTTGATTAATTTACACTTTTTTAGTTTGTTAACATCATAGTTAACATTTTAACGGAATTTGCCCCTTTCTCTTCAATGCAGAACTGTTAGAGCAATAAGTTCCGATCGGGGGAAGGTGGTATCGGGATCTGATGACCAGTCTGTGCTTGTATGGGATAAGCAGACGACTCAGCTTTTAGAAGAGCTTAAGGGCCATGAGGCACAGGTTTGATTATATCTGTTCCATATAACTGATGGAATGCCCCTTTCTATTTGTTTGTATCTCGTCTGTCCTTTTCTCGCGTGTGCCTTTTTTTAGACAGTACTATGTGACAAAACTATGAAATACAAGGGTAATTAGATTTATACTCCTACCCATCTCAATATCTGCCAGAATTACATCCACACATTTCGTTGAGATAGTGCTCATGAACGCTCTGTTATGCTTCCATTAGTTTATCTTTCATCTAAACACTTGCTGCATTCTTTTGAAATATGTGGAAGATCCCCTTTGTGGATGAACAGATGTGGATCCTACGTCAACATCAGCACCAAATACATCCTTCTTTTGACTGCTTATGTTGTTTGAAGCTCGTTGCCATTTTTTGTGGTGTTTCACAGTTTCACCTCTTGAGCTTCGACCCATATGTGCAAGGGGAAGGATGAAAATCATCCCATGGCAGTTTCACATGGTGAACTTTGCCAACAAATGAAAGGAGAAGACTAACGATCTTGCATTTAGATCTCTGTGAACCATAGTAGAGAAATTAGTGAGTCTAATATTTAAGGGTGCGTACATCCTTCTTTCTGTTTAAGCAGAGATGGTGCAGGATGCCTCTTCATCTAAACACATCCAAATTTTTATTTTCGTGAAGATTGTTGGATAATTGTTGACTGTAAGGTCCATCATTAGTTATTTACTATGTGCAATGTCTCGTGAAGGGGAATAAAGTTGAAATCAGGGTAGATTAATTGATGACGTCAATTTTAGTTTTCTGAATAAACTAACTAACCAAAAGGCCAGAAACAAGGGGCCGGGAAGGGGGGAGTCATTGCTGTACCATATTTGGATTGCACATCTAAGCGATTTTAGATGAAATTTTGAAAGCATGGAAGAAAGAAAACTAATCCCTGAATTGATATCACTAAAAAAACTCATACCTATAGAATTTTTTCATAATCAAACTTCATAGGGAAGGATTTTAGATTTATAAATGTTGTACCTAAGGAACTAAATTTTGTTTTGAAATGGTCGAGACGTCTGAAACGTTTCCGTTTCTATAGAAACCGAAATAAATCATTAATTGAATATCAAAATTCTTATGTTTCAAAATGTTTCGAGGTGCTTAGGTAGGTTTCGAGGTGTTTTAGCATATTTCGACCTATGTTTTGACCAGTATTTCAGAAATAAAATTTCAACTTATTCTTTGTTTCCATCTTGCTTCCAAAATGTTTCCGAAGCATTACCGAAGCGTTTCAGAGCTCACTTAAACCATGCACTGAAACGAAATTTTGATTTGTGGTTGTACCATGGTCAATGCTCTTCATTATAGTAAACATTTTAACTTATCTTGTTATGTTACGTGTTATTGTTAGTTTATAGGTGTTAGAGTTCTTATTTTTTATTTTGGGTGAATGGTATTATTGACTTATTATAATCTAGTAATATCAGTTTAGTATGAATAAGAGAATGTAGAGCAATGTAGCCCGACACACAGACTCTTTTCTTTTCGACTTTGTCTTTTCTCTTCTTTTTTCCTTAAACCCTAATAACAATTTCATAGTTTCCACTTGGTATTAGAACAAAAAAAAATTTAGCCAAAGACCCATAAACACAACACGAAAAAAAAAAAAAAAAGGCCAGAGCCACAACATTATCTTTGGTTGGAGCCTCACGGTTTCCAGGGTTGAATTCTGAAATTACTTTTTCCTTTATTCTTCTTTTTTTTTCTTCTGTTGTTGCTCTACCCGTGCTGGATTGAACCCTGTACCCAAAATCATCCTTTGTTTTCCTTAATATCCCAATTTAAGTACAATCCTTTTGTAAGCATAACCTTTTTTTTTTTTCCTTACCTTGTATGCGTATATAGTTCCATCTTGACCTCTATGCAGATGCTTGAAAGTTGAATTTTCAGTTGCATATTCTTAACTTTTCTCCTATCTTAAAAGCCTTGTGCCCTTTGATTTAAAACTCACCTGTGCCCTTTCATTTAAAACTCTATGCAGACATTGTTCTTGAGGTATATCCTATATTCCACTTAACAATTTCAATCTTAGCATTTTTTACCTGTATGATATATGTAACCTATACCTTTGTCTCCTTTCTTTTCACACCATTAGGAATTTATCTACACTCTACCCATAACCTCAACCAAGTAAATCATATTCTTCATATTAGGTGTGATGAGCTGCTTGTCTGCTATCTACCGCAACCCTCCTCCTTGATCAGGACTTGGGACTGGTGTGTACAAAATACTCAGGCGGAGTTAACCTTAACCAAGTAAATAATTTTTTTGATTCATTATCTTAGCTTTTCATACAACCTTACATCAATCTGGTTCCAGAGTAAAAGTCGTATATTCACCAGAAATTAAAGTCTCATCTAACAATTCCATCACCATGATCACAAATGCTGAGAATAGGTCTAATTTTGAGGCCCTCTAACCATTTTGAGCCAGCCTTCTCATGTGTCTCTTGTTTCTAGGACATTCGACAATTTGTTGGTTAATTTCACACACACTGTTGTTGATGACACCTAGATTCACTATGTGCCTTCATGTTTTCTGTCAAAAAGTTTGGTTATATCTATTTATATGTATGTAAATAAGAAATAAATTAACCTAACGTTACCTTGGTAGAATTTTATTGTAGAAGATACATAATACTAATGATGAAGCTTTGACAAAGGAATAATTTCAGTTGGGCCACTCAAACAGGATATCAGTGATTGAACTTAATATATAAAGAAATTACCTCTATCCCATGTATTTGTATGAAGGTTAATAGTAACCTCAACATTTTCATTGTATGAAGATATGTAACCCAAGAACTTAGAATAAGTTTGCTGGTGATCTTGCTGTGGACTTTGCTGCAGACAGTGCAGTGTGAATGAGAGGAAGCCACATCTTCTATCCTTTTTCTGGTTTAACCTGAAAAGAGAAGTAGAAAGAGATCACATACTATGCATTTCTTTGCACCTTCTCGATATTGATGCAAATTTATCCAAGACATGAGAAATTTTGGATCAAGCTGTTAGAACTTTGTCACTAACGTGGATCCATGAACATGGGAATCCTATAAAAGTAGGACATGGACATAACAAAATTGCATTTAAAAAAGTCATACACATGCATGATACATATATATATATATATATATATATATATAGAGGAGTAACCCGTGCCTGAAGGGACGGTGCAATGTGAATGTAATATAAATGATTTTGAGAGGGATGTTGGTGACTGTTGGATTAGTTTATTTGATACCGTCGGATGGGCTTATTCAAGCCTGCCCTATTTTATATTTTATATATATATTGACAAGTAACAAATAAGGGTGGAATAAAAGTATGAGTTTATCTATACATAGTTATAAACTGTACAACAATTGTTACCATGTGATAAGTAAATTATCTATTTATTAACTATAATATGATGTCTAACTTATCCATGTATTAGTTAAATATCACTCATGTACCCATACGAGTATGATGGTTCCTCTCATCCTCTCATCCTCTCATACCCTCTATGGACCTCATGAGTCTTAGTCTTTTAATGAAAAGTCTGAATTTTATACGGGCCATTCTATTGGTTACTCTGTGCAATCATACTTTTCTTGATGGTATGAAAAAATCATATCCATATTTTTTATTCTTGGTAATCACATGAGTTCCGATAAGTGTCAGACACATAATTTAAGATTTTTAATTTTTATTGCGGACAAGACCAAAGAAGTGTTTGACATGTAGAAGTGTCCATTGTCCGTCACATCTGACAAGGATATGTCTTCTTCTTAGAAATGCCCATGCTTTTTAGCCTCTTGATGGATCTAGTTAAAAAAGGCTGCATTTAGTTCAGGACTTATTGATAGGAAGAAGTCTGATGAACATTAATGTTGCTTGCTTTTTTCCTGCTGCTGTGAACAACTTAATCCATAAGATTCCGGATACGTAGTTTCCTATTATCATTGAATTCCTTGCTCAAAAGATGAACTTTTACATTTAAATAATTATTACTCTTCTAGTTTCTCTTCATTTGCGTGTCGTAATGTAGTAATAAAAGTAAGTTTCTACTTGGGAGACCCAGTGTTCAGTATATATGATATTCTTGCCAGCAATTACTAATTTGGATACAAATCCCATGGTTGACTTGATATGTGTTGATAGGTGAAGATATGTGAATTGATGATTGAAATTATGGGTATCTGTCCTTCATCCTTGTAGGTCAGCTGTGTGCGCATGCTGTCAGGTGAACGTGTCCTCACTGCTGCACATGACGGAACTGTAAAGATGTGGGATGTAAGGACTGATACATGTGTTGCTACTGTGGGTCGTTGTTCAAGTGCTGTTCTTTGCATGGAATATAATGACTCCATGGGAATCTTGGCTGCTGGGGGCAGAGATGCGTATGTAATTTTAAATCTGGATTGCAGTGTTAGATATGTACTTGTGAATTGACACATCTTATTATGGCGGTTTGTGTAAATAATGAAGTCAAGATTTCATATTTGACTTTTTTGTCAGAAGCCTAAACTTTTGAATGCTTCCATTGTAGGGTTGCAAACATTTGGGATATCCGTGCTAGTAAGCAGATGCACAAACTTTTAGGGCACTCAAAATGGATTAGGTGAGCTAAGGGCTTGTGGAAATTCATTTGTGTTCCTTGTGTATTGTAATGATGGTTCTTGAACAATCATGGCTTCATATCATTATGCAGGTCAATTAGAATGGTCGAAGACACTGTAATCACTGGAAGTGATGATTGGACAGCACGAATGTGGTCTGTTTCTCGAGGAACATGTGATGCTGTTCTAGCTTGCCATGCTGGTCCAATTCTATCCGTAGAGTACTCGAGGTCAGATAGAGGAATAATAACAGGTTGCGACTCATATCTGCTTCATTATTTCTTTTTTTTGAAATTTTTTTGGATGGCTGTAGTTTCCTTACTAGTGCCAAACTAGGCATATAAAATCTGTGCAAATTACTTTCTGAAGCGTGATGTATCTTTTCAGGTTCAAGTGATGGTCTACTGCGGTTTTGGGAGAATGAGGAGGGTAAAATTACCACTTGGGTGATTTTTTAGTGCAAACGAATTATATATTCCTATAAAAGAACTTAATTTATTGGAAACTGGTATACAATATGAGTTACTATATTTGTTACAGTTTATATCATATGATTAGCTATGGTCCACCAGTTGCCTGTTTATAAATGCATTTAAGGATATATCTCATGCATTTTAGTTCTGAAATACACGAAAAAGTTCGACTCTTTTTGTGGTTTGATGGCATTTGATGCAGTTCCGTGACATCTTATGCCACATGTTGAAGCAATCAGCTGTTTATATTCTAGCTAGGGGCAAACAACAGGAATTGAAAACTTGCATGGTGTATGTACAATTTATATGAAACTATAAATAAACAAGTATATACTTGTATTGTGAAAGAAGAATTCCCATTTCAGCATTTATATGATTTGAAATTTCAGAATATGAAACTAGAAACAGTTGCACGTGCTTTGGAAATGAATACAAACTAACCTTGTGTTGATAAATTATGTTGCATTGCCGAGGTTGCTACATCTTTACATAATTATTTATGGTCAGGAATCTTCATAGACCATATCCTTTGGCTCAAAAGCATCCTCACACGCTGTGTCATCTGCCAAGGGAAGAGTGAGGCTAGAATCATATAGTAAGAAAGAACACGCCTACTTTTTGTTTGTAGGATAACTCTTGCCGCTGGCAGACGTGTTCTCATCTTTTGAAACAAAGATATAAGGTGTCGGCACAAATATTCATTAAAAAATCTTAATTAACTGAGAAGCATTCAAATATGAGCCTAAAAATAGGAATTTCCAAACTTAAGGGATGACCTTCGAGTGAGTCTCTCATCCCGCCATTCTTGACTTTAGGAAGGCATAGAGTAAGGGATGCCCTTTCCTAACCCCAAGTTGTACTCAAGGATCGAAATTTCGTTTCGAAGTACCGTTTCGGTCATCTAAATTTCCGAAACGTTTCGGAAACGTTTCGGAAATGCAATGGAAACGCGGAAAAAATATGGAAACGCGTGGAAACACAAATACAATCCATTAATCTATATCTATATCTATAAACATAAGCTAAATAATTGATTAATTCAACATATTTATTGACTTAACATCCATTTATAGAAGAACAAATTTAAATTGGAGGGAAAAAAAAACTTGACATGAGGCAAAAATCACTAAAATTAGTTTTAAACACTTAAATTTTTATCAAATAAACACATTTTTATATAATATTAAGATCTCATAATACACATGAAATGCTAATGAGTACATACTTACATGGCTACATCCATCCCCCTGTGGAGTGTCGAGCAGGCTCATACATTGGTGTAGGCTCTGGGTAGCTACTTAGAGAAACTCTATATGTGACATAAATATGATGACAATAGTTACTCCAACTCATATTATTACGATAATATGAATTATATTCTCTTCCAAATCTCTGATAGTCTGCAACACTACATCCAATCTGTTGGGGAACGAATGCACCAGTCCCTGACCAATCTTTATCTTGTCTATATGAGGAGGATGTCTGGGAGTCATAGCCAGATCCATAACCATATGTTGAGGATCCATATTCGTATCCTCGTGTGTCATACCCCGATCCATAATCATATGAGGGAATACCATATCCAGAACCATAACCATATGAAGACGACGAACCATAATTATGGTGTTCACTTCCACTTCCACTTCCACTTATACTCATGGTAGAAAAACCATCATTAATCATATCAGTTCCATGCCTAATAGCACCCATACCATGTGGAGTGATCGGATTTTGAGTACGCTCACGTTGACAATCTCGAGTTGATTTTGAGCGTCGTTCATATTGAAGCATTCGTCGAGAGCCATGATCTTCATCTTGTGTAGCATGTGTAAATCCTTCCTCTACAGTGAATACAATTCCATGTGGACTTTGGCTCCCCATACCTCCATCACCACCATGGCTATCACCACCACTGTCACCTTCTCCACTACCACCACCACCACTATCTTTATCATCATCTTCACCGCCATCATCATTGCTACCATCACTATTATGATCATCATCAGTACTACTACTGACAGTGATAGGTTGCTTACGTCTTGGTGGACCTCTCATTAGTCTGTCAAATTCTTCATCATCCATTGCTTTACTTGATCCTCCTCTACTTATTTTGAATCTTGATTTTTGTGGTGGCACAACACCTTGACTTAGGCCTATTCCTCTATCGTCATCGGAAAAACGATTTGCCCACGTCGATAGGAAAGTGTTTGGTCTTGTTGATTGCCCATCATCATCAAGTTCATCTAAAAGTGCATCACCAGGATCATCTAACCACTCTGAAATACCTTCATCTTCGTCAAAAACAGTGGTTAAGTCTATAGGTCTGAATTCATACCCTTTTTTGTCTTTCATAAGGTGCTTTAACTTCAACCTCATGTTATATTGTGCAAACACCAGCCTTTCTAATTTTTGATAATTGAGTCTATTCCGCACTTTAGTGTGAATGAGAGCAAATGTACTCCAGTTTCTCTCACAACCACTAGATGAAGCTGTTTGCGATAATATTTTCATAGCAATCTTTCTCAAATTTGGAGCATCAGTGCCATACATAAACCACCATTCAGCTGCATAATAATAAGAAACATATTAAAACCTTAAAGAAAAATATAAATAGAAAATCATGAGAATAAAATATAAAAGTGTAAATAATCTACTTAATTACCTGGATCACTTTTTGTTCTTCCTCTAATTGCAGCTTGGTCAGCAAAACAATACATAGCCTCCCGAAATATTTTTACCTAAATATCATGGGTATATTGATGTTATATATTAATTCAGCATATTTGTAAATTGAGATTGAAATACTAAAGTATTACCTCTGCAAGTGCTTCAGCAGCCTTGTTTGGATTTGTTTCTAGTCTAGACACAACGATCCGAAGCGAACCCAAGAAATTTTCTAATACACCAACATCTTCTTCATAATGGTATGTGGGGTTCAAGTAATAAGCTACACAATATAAAAAATGATAACACTTATAAATGATAACATTCAAAATTATGACACTTATCAATAATAAAAATATAAATTGATAAACAATAAGTTTACCTGCCATATGAATATGTTGAATGATTTGTTTTTTCCATCGAGTATCAATGATGTCAAGATATTTTTTGCACGATTTAGGAGCCGCATCTTTGACAGCTTGTCTTGCTCGTTTCATTGCTTCATATACATATGGAATTGTTGCTTTTCTTTCCTCATCCACCATTCTTAGAACTTTTGCAATAGGTGTATGCATATTCAACACATTTTTGGCGGTCTCCCAAAATTTAGGATTTAGAATTGTCCCTTGAACTCGCTTTCCAACTGGATCCTTTGCTGCCGCATTCCTAGACCAATCTTCTGAAGTAAACATCCTTTGCAAACCATTTCTCTGCTCCAACATACTTTGTAAGGCAATATAATTAGTGGCAAATCTTGTTTGCCCTGGCCGAATCAATTCCCCCGAACAAAATGTTCGCATTATATCCAAGACTCTATTATGATTATAAATAAAATTTGTCACTCTTTTAGCTTGCTCTAGTACATTTTGAACCGTTTCAATCTTGGAAAAATCATGCAAAATCAAATCTAGAGAGTGGGCAGCACAAGGAGTCCAATATAGGTGTGGTCTTCTTTCCATCAACATTTCACCAGCTTTTTTGTACGCACTGCCATTGTCTGTAATAATCTGAACCACATATTTCTCTCCAATCTCTTCAACAACAGCATCCATCAAACCCAAAATATAATTAGCATCCTTGTCATGACCAGAACTATCAATTGACTTGTGGAAAACAATTTTTCCATCACAATATATCAAGAAGTTAATGATAGATAATCTTGTGGTGGATGTCCATCCATCACACATGATTGTCACTCCATAAATCTCCCACTTCTTTTTGAACTGGTCAATGTACTCTTTCAGCTCATCTATCTCATTATCTAGCAATGGTCCGCCAATCTCATATGGGGTTGGGCCTTTCACACCCACTCCAGCTAAAGCAATTTCATCAATCATCAATTGGTAAAAATGACCTTGAGCTTTGCTTGGTGGAATATTCTCATAAATGAAATACTTTGCAATAGCATGTTTTGCCGACTTTGCCCACTTTTTCGGATTCCACATATGAGTTAGCTTGGCTTGCTTTACTTCCCTATTCCGATACATCGAAGGATCCATCTCTTCTATCGTGAGATCCTTTTCTCTGTCCATCCACTTTTGTGATTTTCTTGAGAATTTATCCCAAGATTCCTTCACACTATGTGAGCGCATTAAACCCTTAGATATACCACTTTTTTGGATAGATGGTCTAGAACTTCCTCCTCTAAAGCCTTGCTCGGCCATATGTATATCACGAATAGATTGTTGTTTTGCATACTCAATATCATCTCTATATTCTATATCCATATCATCATCTGAATTCTCATCGGAAGAATAAATTTCGATACCACTCCTCCGCCTCGATCCACCAATTAAATTTTGTCTCATTTTTCTCCGTTCACCAGTCACTTCTGCATTTTCAGTCTTGTTGCGATTCAAGTAATCCCTCATAGCTTTCGCAATTTCAATAGGACACTTATCACATTGTTCCACATTATTATAACCGCCTGCCAAGTGTTGCTTTAACCGTGACACACCGCCACCCATCATTTTTTTATGGCAAAAATTACACATTACATGTTGTCGATTATCCCCAATTCGTTCGCCGTAATTCCATCCAATATCACGTTCTTTTTTTTTTTTCTGCGATGATTCAGTAGCTATATTCTTTCCTTTTGATGTCATATCTACAATAAATATCATTACGTTATTAAATATATTAAATTAATTTTACAAATTAAAATTAAATGTAATTACAGTGGGTATTAACTATTAAATGTAATTGTAGTGGGTATCAAGTATAATTACAGTGGATATCAAGTGTAATTATAGTGGATATCAATTGTAATTACAATGGTATTAATTATTAAATGTAATTATAGTGGGTGGTAAATATAATTACAGTGGGTATTAACTATTATATGTAATTACTGTTGGGTATTGAATGTAATTACCGTATGTATTAAATATAATTATAAGGGGTATTAAATATAATTATTCATACATGTAACCAAAAAAAAAAAAAAATTTATATATATATATATATAAGGCAGACGGCATAAACGACTCAGACAACACTCAGACCACAGCCGAGTGTTTTGCTCTCAGCGATGGTCGCAGCGATGGTCGCAGTCGCAGCGATGGTCGCAACGATGGGAGAGAGAGAGAGAGAGAGAGAGAGAGAGAGAGGAAGAAGAAGAAGAAGAAGAAGCAGATACCTCGGCGATGGCGATGGCGAAGGCTCTGCGTGCAAAATTCGAGCCCTAGATCTGCGTGGAAAACCCGAAAATGGCTGAATCTCCTGAAATCTGGACTCAAGGTTAGTTCCTCTACTCTTCTCCTTCAATTTCTCTGTCTCTTCGAGCTCCCGATTTTGATCCAAAATGCTTTCTGTCTCTTCGAGCTCCCGAATCTCCTTCAATCTGGACTCCCGATTTTTTCTCTGTTAAATTGGACTGACTTCTGCAAGGATTCGGCTTTCTGTGTCTCATGTGATTTCTGTTAAATTCTTGTGCTTTCTGTGCCTCATGTGATTTCTGTGCCTCATGTGACTCCCGATTTTTTCTCTGTAAAATTCTGACCGACATGTGAAAGGCATCTCTGTTTTTTTGTTTTTTTGTTACCTGGACTGAACCACATCCAATCTGTACTGTGTCGATGGAAACGGTACCGTTTCGACCGAAACGGTACCGATTCGACCGAAACGGTCCGATACACTGTCGATTCGAACTAAACATTGGATTTTTGGTATTCATCCCCTGTTTCGTGTCGGTGTGTTGAAATTCCGAAACGTTTCGGACGTTTCGGATGTTTCGACACGAGATTTCGTTCCTTGGTTGTCCAATAAGATTATGAAGCACAGACACATATTGGTGACACGAGTGTGAATTATTATAGTGAGTGAACTGTGAAGTGTTGGTACGCAGGAGAAGTTAGAATTTTTTGCTCGATTTTGAACAAATATTTTTGATTATATTTGGAATATGAGGTCAAACGTTGTTGAAGGTCTTAGCATTAGTGATTTAGGGAAGTTTGCATGCTCTTGGAATGCTCATTTTCGGATTGGGACGTGTAGTTAGTGTTGGGTGATGTCAAAACCATTTAATCCTAATACCGTTTCACCATTTTGACCCCTGCTTGAAATTATTTCCGTTCTCATCTTTACTTGTTTAGTGGTTTCCTCTTTACTGTTCTCAAAGCATAATTTGTAATATTGTTGAATACTAAATACTTTATGTAATATGGTTTCAAATAAATTATTTGGAGCTTACCATAGTTACAGGATGCAATTACACGATGTGAATTTAGTAAAAGTAAGATATTTGTATTACTCTGGGAGTGACGGAGGAATTGGTTTTTTGTTTTCCCACAATTACTGTAACGGCATGATGTGATGATTTGTTGATGAATTGAAGCATCAGTTGGTGTAATCAACATTTTTCATTTGTACAGGAGGTATAAGATGTGTGAAGAATGTCACTATTCATACTTCTTCTATATTATCTATCAATGCCGGGGAACACTGGTTAGGGATTGGAGCTGCTGATAATTCAATGTCTCTCTTTCATCGGCCGCAAGAGAGACTTGGTGGCGTATCTAGTGCTGGTTCAAAGATGGCTGGATGGCAACTCTACAGAACACCACAGAAAACCGTTGCAGTGGTACTTTTCTTTTCAAGTCTACTATTAAGTTTTTACCTGATTATTTATACATTTGGCAGCTATTCCTAGTCATTATGCTTTATCTAGTAATTATCATGATTACAGAAAAAAGGCCTGAATGAACTAGTTCATTTGGTTGTAGTCCCAAGGGATTGCATATTAAATGAATTATCTGGTGGATATGTTCAGGAAAAAAACTCTGGTGGAAGAAATTTTAGAGAAACTTCATGATGAAAAAAGATATTCCACCCCCCCCCCCCCCCCCCCCCC